AGTTGGCTCCAGGGTCCTCTTCTCCCTGTTAATAGCACAACCATGTCCCTGTAGTAAGGTAAAGGTAAAGGTTCCCTTGCTCGAAAGCCAGTCGAATCCGACTCTAGGGTTGCGGTGCTCATCTCCGTTTCAAAGCCGAAGAGCCAGCGCTGTCCGAAGACGTTTCCATGGTCATGTGGCCGGCATGACTAAACACTAAATACTTGGATTATAAAGTCCAAGTGTAGGCTCGCCTGGTGACTGGACTCTGCCTGGATCAAAACGTCTTCCAAGTAAGGAAAACAGGACCACTCCTCTCAGACTTAGGAAGGCCACTAGTGTCCCCAGGACCTTGGGGAATGTCGTCATGAAAAGGCTCCTTTGGAGAAAATGAGGCCTAATTAACAAGTGTACGCAAAAAGGACAACCAAAATGAGCATAAGATTGGGGTGCTGCTGTTCCTATGAAGAAACGCTGAAGTGTTTTGGACCTTTTTTTAGTTCAGGAGAAAGACAAAAGAGGAGGAACAGGACCTATATTTATAAAATTATGTAATATATGGCGAGAGTAGATAGAATTTCTCAGATAAATCTAGAACTCAGGGTCACCCAATGACACTGAGGTGCAGTAGATACATGTTCTTTTGTCTGTTCTGTATCTTCATACAATGTTTGTTTGGATGTGGAATTAACTTCCACAACACATGGCCAGCAGCACGGAAGGCTTCCACGGGAGAATCAAAGGCATGCATGCATGGAGGATAGGTAGGTCAGTGGCTGTTAGTAATTATGACTAAAGGGGCCCTCCACACTGAGAGGCGCTATGCCTCTGAAAACCAGATGTGTGTGGGGGGGCAATGGGAGGCAGGATGATTACCTTATTTGTCTTGCTTCTGGGCATCCTAGATGCAGCCACTGTGGGGAAACTGCTGACCTAAATGGATCTTTGATCTCATCCAGCTGGGCTAGTCTTATGTTCTTGCAAATTAGCAAGGCATGTAGGCTTTAATGGGCACCAAATTAGGCAAAAGTGGATTTTTCTCTTGTAAAGAAACATTAACAGTATCATGTATAAGAAAGGTCATTCCTGGCTTCTTATTTTCCTCTGTGTATGTGCTGGTATATATGGGGGGGGGGGGGGGGGGGGCTGCCACAGTCCTAGTTTGCCTAGTGTGCCAGAAACCAGCTTGTGAATTAGACCCATGACCTATATTAATAATGCAAAATTGCACTGTACGCTGGCACAATTTATTGTGCTTCAGCTGATTACAAGGATGGGCACCAAACTCTGCAGGTGCACTGAGCTTTGCAAATCCTACTGGCTTGCCAGCTTTCACCTAGCGTGCCTACGTACTTCTTAAAAACCCATCTGCAATCATAAGGGCTAGAAACTGGCTTATAAAAGAGCTTCATTTCAACAGATTTGCAGAAGGCACACAAGCCCCAATTAGATGATATCCCCAAGGATATGAGCCCATCCTGCTCTTGGGCTTCATGGAAACAGCTGGTTTGCCTCGTTTTACAAGCAAACTGTTGTACTCGATGGACCCTTGATCTAATCCAACAGAGCTCTTCTTATATTCTTATAACACTGAGGGTTTCTCCTCAGTAGACATATCAACATATACACTGCGGTGCAATGGTGCGGTGGTTAGCGTGCTGGAGACCTGCATTCAAATCCTCACTCTGCTGTAAAGTTCACTGGGCCTGTCACATTCTCTCAGTCTAACTACCTCACAGGATTGTTACAAGGGAAAATGGGGGAGGGGAGAGAGACCGACATATGTCACCCTGAGCTCCTTGAAGGAAGGCGGGGATAAAAATATACTAAGTAAAATACATGGGGAGGATTTCAAACTTGAGCCGATGGTGATCTAGGTTCAAATTCCCTTCTCAGCTATGAAGCCCACTGGGCCAGTTGTGACTTCCCACCCTACCCTACCTCACAGGAGTGAGGAAACAATATATAATTTTATCCTTTCCTTCTCATAAAAAATAAAAAGATGGGAAAAAATTGATCTAGAAGAAACATAAAAATTAACGGGAAGGAAATACAGAGGACATAGCAGGGCTTTTCAGAAGTGTTTCCAAAACAACTTAAATGTGCTTTACATATATATGTATATAATCTCCCACTTCAAAATGGCCACCAAAGAGAGGCACTTTGCTTTGGGGGAAAAGACAATCCTCTGTTATTGCACAGACAGATGCCCTTCAGACGCACAGGAAAGAAAATGGCTGATGCTATGGCAACTGCTCAGTACCAGGACACTGCAGCTCCAGGCCTTCTGCATGCCAGCTCGGATTAGGATGTAAGAGGATCAAAATGAAGGGGGAAAATAATAGGATGAAAATGTAGGGGGCAAAATAATAGAATCAGGACACAGCTGCACTAGTCAGGGAAAAGATTGTTATATTAATTACATTTAGCTAAAAGGCTTTATGGCACTTTAGTAAGAATGGAGCAGGACACACTCAAGTAGCCAATACACACAAAACTCAATGCAGCCTCCTGATTTCCCCAGTAAATGTACAACAGATGTATAGGACACTTGGCATAGCACTCACTCTTCCTGCCTCCTTTCACAAAGGCATCTGCTGTAATTAATGTCTGAGACACATTAATCTTGCCCTGCTTGCAGAGTGCAACCCCACCTCCCACACATAAACAACCCCCCCCAGCATTTTCTGATTCTCAGAGGGAAGAATAATCAGTGACTATTTCATCTGCAGCTCTAATCTGAATGGCCCAAGCCAGCCTGATCTCATCAGATCTTGGAAGCTAAGCAGGCTCGGTCAGTATTTGGATGAGTGACCACCAAGACAGCCCAGGGGCGATATACAGAGGCAGGCAATGGCGAACCATGTTTGAATGACATTTGCCTCGACAACCCTATGGGGTCGCCAAAAGTCAGCTGCAACTGGTTTGCACTTTCCATCATCGTTCCATTTGTGAAAGAGGGACCTTTTGGGGAGAAAATGAACTCTCTACAAGTCTAGAACATAGAGTAACCTTTTTGCTACTCAACAAAATGATGACTTCAGGTGAGGCTGCCATTTTGTCAGACTATGTTATTAGGCAATGCCAAAACCAGGCTTATGCTGCATGGCCCCATACACAGATAGGAACATCTTGCTTCAAATGAAGGAGTTTTATCAGACTGCTGTATTTAATTGGCACTCTTCACAATAAGAGATACCGGTCATCGGCAATATACTCCTTCACAACTGGGTAGACCTAGATATGTTGGCAGTTTGACTACTGCCAAAAAGAGCAGCCCCACCTCTCCTCTGTCTCTCCCATGAACATCTAGGGATACTTGATGTGTGACCAGGGGGGTCGGCGATTGCAAGTTTCCTCCCCTCTGCTCCAGTTTACATGCTGGTGTTTGTAGGAAAGATGTCGGTTGGGACAGGAAACCCCCAAGGTGGACATCACGTTATGTATTCCTTGATGCCATAGGGAAGAGTGAGGTACCAGGCCACTTTTTTGGGAGGAGATGTAGTTCTGCCAAAAGACAATAGCAATACTATTCCACATACATCTGGACCCCAGTGGCCCCTTGTGTGGTTCTTGGAACTGCCAATAGGTTTCTTTTTCATTTGGTGCTAGGAAAGTATCTCTTCCCCACCTCAGATATGAAGATTCTACTAAATTACATGAGTGATGTTGAAAGCATTTGCCCTAGAGACACCTTTTGTACAGTTCATGCTCTCTTCTGAATTGCAGAAATGTTATCAGTGTGGGACTGGAAGATGGCAAATTTGCAGGGGGGGGGGTAGGGGGATGAATGGCCTTTGAGTGCCTCCAGTCTGCAAGATTCTTCACAAAACAATAGCCTAATGGCTTACCTTGAGAAGTTTGACATAAATGCCAACTGGGCTTTAGAAAAGAAGTAAATTCTGGTACTTGGTGATCAAAGCAAAGCCTACCTCTGAATGAAGCCATCATAGAAAAGTTGGATATAAATATTTTAAATAAATAACAAATACATGCTAGCACCTGCAGGTTCCCCCTCCACACACAAAAACCATCAAGATAATTACCGCAGGCTAAAGCTTTGTAGTGTTAACAGGCTCTAGCCCCAAAGTAAATACCACAACTTCAAAGAGGACACAGGAGAATTTTTTTTAAAAGAATGCATAATTTACTACTCACGCTGCAAGGTACCCACCCACCCCCACCCCATAAACTGAGAAGAAGAGGCCTGACACTGGCAGCCCTTTAGCATCGGTCTGGAGAGCAACTTCCTCCAGTTTTTTGTGGCAGGGCTCTGTGCTACTGGAAGCTCTGGTTATGTAAAAGCCGCCCCCCCTTCCCCTGGACACTGGATTGGAAATCACTAACTTTAGTGCAATAAGGCAAGAATATTTTATTTTTTTTCTTTAAAAAAATCCCTTATAAACAATTTCTTAATAAGAAATCCATTGGAAGAGAAAGGAGATTGTGCCCTGCAGAATGGCTTTGCAAAAATGGCAATGGGGGCAAGGACACATTTTTATTATAAGTACAGCGGGCCTATGTCCAATCTCTTCGGCTAACAGACAAAAAGGGTGATGTGTTTTATGATGCTGAGCCTTGTAAAACCCTTCAGGGCTTTGGGAGTTTGGCTGGATCCCATTCGGCATCCCGGCAAGGGAAACACACGGGTTGGTGAGACAGAGGAAGGAGCCAACTGGAGCCGTGCTGGGTCAGAACAGTTTAAAAATAGCAGCAATGACCAAACAAACAGAAATAGCTGTGTCTTGGTTACCGGAGGGAGGAGATCTGACTGAATGCACTGCACTGAAAGCAGGTGGGACGGGACAGCCATTTTTGCAGAACCACTTTTCTAATACAGTCTTGTTTAAATGAATGCTTATCCTGCTGAGAGAGTAACACTTTAAGTAGATAGATTCAGGTGGGGTAGCCGTGTTGGTCTGAAGCAGCAGAACAAAGTTTGAGTCCAGGGGCACCTTTAAGACCAATTACGTTTTATTCTGGGTATAAGCTTTCGTGTGCATGCACATGTGGTCACACACAGAGACAGAACATACACAGAATTACACCCAGAATAAAACTCTGTGGTCTTAAAGGTGCCATTGGCCTCAGACTTTGTTTCACTTTGAGTAGATACTTGCAATGGTCAATTGCTGCAAACCCCTTCCAAGCAGCCCATGGAAATCTGGTGCTCCCCTTTGGACGGAGGCCAGAACTTCTGTACAATTTAGCCCCTGTCCCCAAATCCCAGAGATCAGAGAACACAGAATATGCTTCCAAAATAAAAGGACTGGTGGTGGTTGGGAGTGGGGAAGGTTGGAGGAACCTTCCTATGAAACTTGAGAGCTAAAATGTTGATGGAGTCTCTGGTCCATGTACGTAATATGGGCCCCTTGTGTGTTACTCAAATTCCTCTTCACTGAGACCCGACACAAATGACTTTGTAAATGGCGTTATTAAAGAAAACTGAGTAAGCTCCATCTATCTGGAAGCTCCACCCAACTCTCTTCTGTTGACTGCATCTAAGGCTTGGGAGTTGACCCCTCGATGTCTCCAAGGACGGTCCAGTCATCAGCTCCATTCTGAATTACTACCCTGAATCAACCACTTATCATGAACGGTGCAACATCTGAGGCTTCCAGTTTTCCAGTGTGAGCAGAGTGTTCCAGTCTATGAAGCCCAATGCCCTTTCTTCAAGTGCCCAAGGAACCCTGTAACATCAGGCAGGTGAGCCTCCAGTCCAAGAAAAGAAAGAAGAGTGGTAGGTGGAACCAAATAATTGCTTATTGAAGCTATTCCTTTCCAGAAAGAGGAAGGGTAATTCCAACAGCATTCCCAAAAATCGTACAAATAATCATCTATGGCCTTGTCTGTCCCTGTATATAAGATACAGGCTTCGTTGCAGTCCAAATGCTTTTCACCGACTCCTGATGAATCACTCAGAGCAGATGACTTGTGTTCTGCAAAACTATGGTTAGAAGGAGGAGCTTCAAAAGAGACTGTGATCCACAGAAGCAGACTTCTTATCCTGTTATGTTCTTTGCACCAAACTCTTTGTACCAGTGTATAAATTAGGTTATTCCCACACAAGCTGCAGCCTTTTCTCCACTTGCAAAAGGTACTTTCCCAACAGTCAGAACCGCCCGCCCACCCCAAGCATGGTCTGTTCAGCCTGTTCTCCAGGCTGTGTTGGATACCAGGATTATTTGAGGACCAGCATAGCCTCTGTCCCGTCTTTTCTTGTTAAATAGAGTCCATGAGTGAGGTAGTACTCCCTCTGCAGGAAGGCGTAGAAATAGTCCGAGATGAGCAAAATCTGCAGAAGAAACCAAGTGTGAGTCACATCAGTCCTTTCCAAACAAAATGGATGCATGTACAGACCATGAACTTTCAAAGACTGCCCACGTGATAACTTTGGCAAGGTTTGATATCAGCTGTCCAAAACATATCCAGAGACCAAAGTCTAAGGTAATAATCACAAACACACCCCAAACCCACAAAAGGTTTGTGTTCTCTTTTAAGCCAGGACTTTTACCATAAACACAATACATCAAAGTCATTAACCTAATTCCAGAGGAACAGCCACTGTTAGTGTGGTACAGCAAAAAGACAAAGAGTGCTGTGTTATTTTATATCTACCCCACAATGCTCGGACCACTCAGGAGCCCCCACAGCCCAGAATAAAATATTTATAATTAGATATAAATTAATTGTGCAGATCTCTGAGGCTCTTGCCTAGGACACTGGTGGTCGCACAGGAGGCCGTTTCATTGGGCTAGCATAATCTAGGATAATCCAGTGATAAACAGACCAAATCATAAACCCCTGTTCAAATTTTATCCCCCCCCCAAGAATGCAACTCACTAGGACCAATGTTCCCTCTAAGTTGAGGAGTCTTGTGAGCAAAAATTCTACTTTGTGAGCTACTGGCATTAAAGTTGTGAGCGAGCTATTTGGCTGCTGCATAAATTAGTTTGCTCTGGAGCCAATCCTTCCTGAGCAAAGACAAAAATCTGTGAGCCAGAGGCTAAAAAACTGTGAGCTAGCTCACACTAACTCAGCTTAGAGGGAACCCTGACTAGGACTATTGCCTACCATTTTCTTCTCACCTTGACACTGAGAGTACTCCATCTTAGGATGCTAGGGCTGCCAAATCGGGCCGGGGGGGGCGGGGAAACCCCCGCTTTGGAGGCCTGATTTCCGCCGCGGCGGAATCGGGCCCCGGGGGGAACCCTGCCCCCGGCGTGCGCATCACTAGAAAGTGACGTGGACGTCACTTCCAGGTGACGTGTGCGCGCGCACTCACCCGACGCCGGCCAGGAGCCCCCCGCTCCCAGCGAAGAATTATTTGGCAACCCTAGAGGATGCCAGTCACAGTTACTGGTGAAATGTCAGGTTCTACAATGCCAAGACCTTGGCCACACATCCCGGAAAATCTACAGCAGCTAATGAACTCTGGCCGTGAAAGCCTTCAGCATCACTAGGACAGCTTCAGTTACCTATTTACAATACAAAGGAGGCCCCAATACTTGGTGGGGGCTGTGATTCAGTGGTGAAGCACATGTTTTGCATGCAGAAGATCCCAAGTTCAATGTGAGCCCGCACTGCGGGGAGGGCGGGGTATAAATGGAATTAAATAAATAAATACCTGGCATCTCCAGTCAAGGAGATCTCAAGGAGCATCTGCACTTTTTCACTAGTGCTTCTCCCCCCCCATTGTTAGTATGTACTGTGGTGCACCCTGCAACAGCGGGCTGAACACAAAAAGCACCGGGAGGGGCAGGCCTCATGTGCCTGTGTTTATTTGCATGCAGAATATAGGCACCTTCTCTTTCTCCAGTGGAGCAGCAAATGATTTAATGGTTTCCAGCATGCTGCATTTGAGCTCTGGGGTTTTAGCTCTGCACTTGACCTGGTTTTTCCTCTTACAATTAATATTCAAAAGCCACACCTCTCCTGTGCAAAACAGGCTGGAAGTAACTACATGATGGCACAGAACTAATGATCTATACAAAAGCAGACTAATGGGCATATGCATTAACAGTTTTGAAGCTAAGAGTAATGGGGGGAGAGAGTACACTAGTAGGAGCTGAGAAAGTAACCATAAACACACCATTTAAAAAAATGTGACTTTTGCTGCTGTTGCAAATAAAAATCCCAGTAACATTTCTTTACAGTAGATTTCATAATAACTACAATTTCCATTTCATTTATATGCATATTTCCAACTGTCTGTAATTACTCCTGATCTGCACCAGTATGATCCAGGCAGCCTTTAATCTCAGGAGACGAATGTTTCTCAATCCACCTTTTGTCTGTTTTCCTCTCTTGTTTTGCATTTTATTCCCTCCAACGTTTACATTTTCCCTCCTGTCTTTCTGGTTCATTTCTTGGTGCTGTGGTTTGTCCCACCCACCCCCTTCTGTTAACAGCGTAGAGATGTAGGTTTGGAATGTGGATCATCCAGGTTTCTAAGCAGACCTCACCAGTGGCCGTTCTCTGGAGATCTGATTCTGCTTGGCCATCCCCCATCAGCCTGGCAGTCCACAGTGGCCACTGCTGGACTCCTCTCTCCTAAAGCAGATTCCTGTAATGGACACTCCACCTCATCGTTTCTAAAGTGATCATACCTGACCTCCAAGCTTCCACTCTTCCTTATTCCCTGTTCTGTAGTTTCTATTAAATTGTCAGCAATTCTGGCAGTGGCCTGCCCATGTTGACTCTTTGTACAGTGTTTGAAAGAACTTAAAGTGGTAAACAAACCAGTCCAATGCTGGCCACTTTCCATTTTACATAAGGTGAAATTCTGTCCCTGCTCACCTGGGGGTGGTCCACCAACCAAGTTCTGCCTGAAAATTCCTCCTTTGGGCCTTGCCTTATAGAGATACTGCCCTGCCAGCCCACTCCTAGCTAGGGATGCCAGCCTCCAGGTGGGACCTGAGGATCCCCTGGAATCACAGCTCATGTCCAGACTATAGCGATTAGTTCCTCTGAAGAAAATGAATGCTTTGGAGGATGGACTCTATGGTATTGTACGCTCCTGGGGTCCCTGTTTGCCCCAGAATCCACCCACAAATCTCCAGGAATTCCCCTTCTTGGAGCTGACAACCCTACCCCCCATCCTCTGCCGGTGGTCAGGGGGGACCTGGCAACCCTAGCTCTTCTAACCCCCTAGGCAGGAACTGATTACCTTTGGAGAGTTTGCTTAGGAGGGCACAGAGCACAGGTCTGCCTGCCCCCTTCCCACCCAACCTTCCTTCAAATTACTGACATTACATGAGCATCTAAGCATGTAGGTCCCTAAGCATGCAGAAACCAAGGAATTGAAATAATTCTAACTTCTATTCTGCCTCTACATGGATGGTAGTTTGCTGAGCCAGTGCTTTAGAGATACTGCAGGTTTCTAGACTAAGAGTCAATATTCAGATACAACGGGACTAGAACTATGGTGGACATTATTTTCTCTAGATGGGTGATTTCTGACACACTTTCACAGAAAAAGTCTGCCCTCCCCCCGGACAACTATTGAAGTCAGAAGTTGCTTTGGGATTCTCAGACAACGAGGCCCTGGACTTACTGTCATTTGCAAAGCTGGGAACAACCAGTGATGACATTAGCTTTGAAGTTAGCCCTTCCTGATGTCCTGTTAATTATTAAAGGAAATGATGTGGGGGGGGGGCAGTAAAGGCATAACTTAAACTTAGCTGGGTACTTATCCATTTGGAAAGCATTATATTGTGATTGAAGGCGTAAGGCAGTGAGACAGTTTGCTGTTGTTTCCTGGAAAGTGACTCACGGTCATGGGAATCTCTGGGTCAGTTTATGATACAAGGCAGCTGGATCTCAGAATGTGGCAACTACCACAGATGACAACTACAAATTACCCCAGCATAAAAAAGGGTTGTATGAATGCTCACTCTGGAGCTGCAACTCACGTGTCAAACAAGCTCTTGATAAAAGAGAGAAAGATGGCTTCCTCAGAACTGCACTGCTTTGTGCAAAGTACAATGTGGCTCTCAAAGGGCTGCAGCACTAAGGTCACCCATGAAAAGCCCATCCGCTCTGAACTGTCTTAATGGCCTTGGATGAACTCGCTCACCCAGCTCTTTACCAGCCCACCTTGTAAGGGCTATCCTGGCATTTCTGAGACTAACAACATTCATATCGTATTTTCTATTCAGAGGGCATATGCGCTCACAAGAACGGGCAACCAAGCAAAATCCTCAGCTACCTATTACACTGGGCAAAAGGAAAGCTTAATTTAATAAAGAATACACACTCATAATGTGGTCACATGTACCAGTCCATCAAAGAGATACAGAAGCAACTTCCTCATTTCAAGTCTGAAGAACAAGGTCTGTTTTCACAAATAGTGTGATTTAGAAGAAACATATGCACAGGGAGTCAAACTGCTGCTCAGCGAGGGCTCAGCACCCTCCTGATGGTATTCAGGGTGTTATTTAAGGACACTCTGGCCAAGATAGATGGACCAGCCCTGCCAGTTTTGAAAGAGGGACCGGGAAAGCTTGAAAGGTGAGACAGGAGGAAACAGTCCTTGCTGCAACACTAATGGGAAGGAACGTGACATCACCAAAACCATCTGTTTGGTTCTTGGCTTTCTGCTGGCCAAGCTGTGCTGATGCAAACAACAATAAGGAACTCTGCAAGAAAAACTCTACAGGACTCTTCTGCTGACAATGTAACATAGCGCAATAGGTTTTCTACCCAGAGGACATATCCATTCATAAGAGAAGGTAAACAAGCAAAATACTCAGCAGCCTGTACATGGCAGCCAGTACGTGGACCAGCACAGCCTCAGTGGGGCTCTTTCCTAAGCACTGAAACGTAGCTCTGTGTGTGTTTGTGTGTGTTTTCTCACTACATCTGGATATATATGGCATGTACTGTCCCTGATGTGAACTTGGATAGGACGATCCCAATGCCAATCTTCTACTTCCTTTTAAAATACTAGACAAAGCTGATAGCTGCAACTTGGGCTGAAGTACAATGTACGGCATTCTGGGAGCATGCCTCACTGAACTTGGTGAGACTTGCTTCTGAGTAAATATGCCAGGGATGAGATGTCTAGTAAAGAAGCCGAACAGAAGCAAGGACAAATGGTGGCTCCTGTCAACACGATTTGGGAACACACCGCTCACAGAACACTTTGCCAAGCTTACAGCTCTAGCTGGTCCTCCAAAGCATTTTTAGTTCCACAGGGAGGTGTTGTTTGTTTGTATAAAGCTGCAAGCCCTCAGGGCAAACTTAGGTGGTAATATATGATGAAAGCAAAGACATCAGGAAGCAAGTTAAAGAGAAAGAGAGAGGTCAAACAAATTCAAAATCAACCATGATTTTCAAATTCCTATCAATTCTAAGCCTATATCATACTCTGTTTAATGCTGGGAAACCCGGTCATTTTTGTTTTTAAAAGTTAGTGATGCCAGATTAGACAGTGGTCTTAAAAGGGTGTGACTCTTTAGGATTGCACTGTAAGTATATCACACAATAAATTCCACTCATCTGCTGATAACTGACATCTGCTACACTCCTTTAAATGATACACAGGTCACCTACATTAAACTAATAAGAAACATTCTGGTTTGTCACAGTTGTCTATAAACCTCTGTGCATTTACTTTGCTGCGAATGTCTACAGGAAATACCTGTTTTACTGCATAATCCATACTTTCCAAGGTGCAATTTGGATTTGTGACCTAGAGCTGCTATCCACTACTAGCTGTGGATGACTGTGTTTACTCAGCCATGTTTTTATAACTGTCTTCTCCAGCTTTATGCTGAACACTCACAGCGATTCTTTATTCTGTAAACAGTTTCTTTACACATCAGATTCTTTCTAAACTATCTCATGGTTAAATGGTTAACTTCAGCCTCAAAGCATGATGTCTTTTAGGATACAAGATAAAAATATGCTAATCACATTGCTTACTGTCAAAATAAAAGTCACATTCAAAGAAGCATTTGGCTATTCAGGAGAAAATAAAAACAGACTGTTTTGCAGGAACATATCTTGGAGACAAATTGGAGGTTGGCAATAGGAAGAGAAATAATTGCTGCTGCTTGAAACAGCACAGAAATAGAAGAAAGGATGAGATTTGGAGAGGGGAGTTGCTTCATGGAATTAAAAGCATAATTAGAGTTGACAGATGGGAGCTGAAGTGTTGAATTTAAGAAGAAGAAAGAATATCCTAATCCTACATTGCGTTCAGCTAGTTTAGATACAGCAGGGATCACAACATAGGACCATGATCACATCTGTAATCCACACTTTCTTATTTCCATAACTTTGCTTAGTTCCCAGGGAGGAAAGTGAGATGATGTAACCTGATCTTATTAGATCTCGGAAGCTTAGCAGGGTTGATACTTGTAAGGGACCACCACCAGGGAAGACAATGGCAGACCACCTCTGCTTCTCATTTGCCTTGAAAGCCCCTGCTGGGTTGCCGTAAATTGGCCAGAATTTGACAGCACTTTACACACATAATTGGTTCTCAATAAAAACAGAGCAATTAATTCAAAGGAAATCCTGACTTCAGGATACAACATAATCTGGCACAACAATACTCTGTCTTCTAAGCAGACAACAGGCCACAACTGTAAGATGGCTGCTAAGACAGGTTCATTAATGGCTATTGGCTACGATAACTAAAGGGTATACATCAAGATGGGTAGCTCTGTCTGTCTGTAGCAGTGGAAAACAGCAAGAGTCTAGTAGCATCTCAAAGACTAACAGATATCTGAAGAACTGAGGAGTGACTCATGAAAACTCATACTCTGCCAAATGTCTTGTTAGTCTTTAAGGCGCTACTGGACTCTTGCGCTTTTCTAAATGGTTTACAGTAGTGATATACCTCTGAATACTGGTTGCTGGGAGGCAACAATGGAGGGAAAGTTTTGATCTCTGTTACTATCTGTGGGCCCTCAGGGTCATCTGGCTGACTAGTGTGTCACAGTGGCTAGAGTGTCGGCCTACAACGTGGTAGAGCAAGGTTTGAATCCTCACTCTGCCATGGAGGCTCAGTGGGTGACTTTGGCCCAGTCATACACAGCCTCACCTACCTAACAGAGATGTTGTGAGGATAAAATGGAAGAGAGTAGAATGGTGTATTAAGCCACTTTGTGTCCCCACTGGGAGGAAAAGCAGAGTATAAATGAAGTAAATAAACACTGTGTGTGACAGAATGCTGGACTAGGTGGACCACTGGCCTGATCCAGCAGGGCCTTTCATGTGTTCTTTTGTACTGTCACCTCTCTTTCCTGATCATCTGTAATTTAGCCATAGAAGAAGAAGAGAGGTGTCTCAGAGTGGCTTACAAACTCCCCTCCCCACAACAGACACCCTGTGAGGTAGGTGGGGCTGAGAGAGCTCTGACAGAAACTGCTCTTTTTCAAGAACAGCTGGGCCAGAACTACGGCTTGCCCAAGGTCATCCAGCCAGGTGCAAGTGGAGGAGTGGGGAATCAAACCCGGTTCTCCCAGATTAGAGTCCGCACACTTAACCACTACACAAAACTGGCTAGAAGACAATGTTAATCTGCATCCTGGGTATGAGCCGGATAACAGCAGAAGACTCTAGATAAATAAGAACATAAGAGATGCCAATGTTGGATCAGGCCAAAGGCCCATCCAGTCCAACACTCTGTGTCTCACAGCGGCCAGAAATACCAGTGCCATCAGGAGGTCCACCAGTGGGGCCAGGACATTAGAAGCCCTCCCACTGTTGACCCCCTCCCCCAAGCACCAAGAATACAGAGCATCACTTGCCCCAGAGTCCCTATCTATACCTTGTGGCTAATAGCCACTGATGGACCTCTGCTCCATATGCTTATCTAATTCCCTTTTCAAGTCGTCTATGCTTGTAGACACCACCACTTCCTGTGGCAGTGAATTCCATGTGTTACGGTAATCACTCTTTGGGTGAAGAAGTACTTCCTTTTATCCGTTCTAACCCGACCGCTCAGCAATTTCCTTGAGTGCCCACGAGTTCTTATATTGTGAGAAAGGGAGAAAAGATGGTGAAGCTGACAAGCTAAACATCACCATGTCAGAGAAAGCAACTTCTCTTCTAACTTGCCAAGCTGGAATAACAGCTCCCCATAATTTATTCTCCCGTTATTGGGCTCAGTTCTCCAAAAGCACTAACAATCCCCCCCCCATTGTGTGGGCCAAATTGGACCCAAAAATGAGAAACTAAACCCAATCCAAAATGTACACAGGCACAAATTTTTTCCAGCATTCCACAGCCAACATGGACAACAGAAGGCAGGGATATAAGTGCTAGAAATCAGAACTCTGCCACATTCTTCAGACACTTCACCAGTTGTTATCCATGCACTTTGTAGCCTCCCCTTGAAAATGAAATCTGCCTTAAGTCTCAGCAAGAAAGGTGGAGTATAAAGTAAATAAATAAAAATGAATGAATATAAATGACAGCTAAGGTTCCAATTATATTGATTTCTGTATTAGATACTGAATTCAAAGCTTTTTCTGTGCTTGTGGGGGCACTTGGGACACATGCAAAGCCCCGTGGTTAGGATGCCAGGAACTCAAGAAGATTTTTCAAGCCTTATTCCTCCCCTTGTTTTACTAACCTGCCCTACGTTGAATGTCAATGTGATGGCATAGTAAAAATTTGAGTTGGCACTTCCTGCATAGATCCAGAGATGCCACAGAACAGGAAAGAGCACGGAGCAGACGATGAGTACACAGGAGAGGATGAAGATGTTCCGGAGGACTGCAACAAAAAGCAGAGGTGTCATTAAAATGGGTTAAGTGATATGCTGATTAGTCCTTGCCTTTGTACCATACAAGCTATAATGGGGTGGCAGATACTAATTTAAAGGGTGGTTCTAGAGACAGCATCTATAGAAATCCCTCTGGCAAGAACCAATAATTAACGGCAATTCCTGGGTGTGACAAGAGCGTTGACAGGTTTATTCTGCACCCATTACACAGCCCCCGCTTCCAGTTCTTGGATTTAAGCAGGTGCAAAAGAAAAGCGCAATTCATACCACTGGTGGGTAAGGGTAGGAAGTTGTGGGGGGAACTGAATGGAAAGCTATTTTTGGACTGTGTCGTCCCCAGTCCGCCCCCCCCCCCCCTTCTAAACTGCAGCAAAATGTTAGCACTTTTTTCTGTAGTTTATGTGGTACATTTTCTTTTTCCTGATCATGTCAAGACAACAGCATATAGCGAATATCTCGTGCTGGTGAAGCATTGTGTTTATCTGAATGGATTTTTACCCGCACATTTACAGTGTTCTGTTGTGAAATGTTCTGTTCCAGAAATGGAATATTTACATTCTTAAAACTTCATTCATCCATTGATGTTTCCATACCTAGCCCTTCCCATTCAATGCTCCGACAATCTCATTCCCCTGAGGAGGTATCTATGTTGACTATGTAATCATCAAAGTGTTGAAGACCTTCTTTTCTCAAGACTCACTAAAGCTTTTTCCTCCCTAAGGAATGTATTACAGAGCCTCTTCCTACCTCAGTCAGGTTGCTGTGATTAATTATGGAAGCGGTTTTTAAATCTCCCTTTGCTTCCAGCTTTTGAGATGCAGTTAATATGATTACTGCTTATCTGTTCATACATCGTCTTTTCAAGAGAACAAGCCAGCTACCCAAAAAGAGAACATGCCATATTTTAGCATATTTTGCGATAAAACACCACTATCACAAAATGTCATAAATATGGCCCAAAAGAAAAAACAGCATCATGTCGCTCTTTATATATTTCACGCAACTGATCCTATGCCTTTGCATGTCCAGGATGCACTTCAGAATGAACTAAAGCCAGCTTTCCTTTCTGTTAGGGCCAAGCTAAATGACACATTTAGCCATGAGTTGGATTGAGGGAACTCTGGCCCAACATATCTTTCCATGCAGACTCATGGGGAACTTAGTTACCCCAATACTGCAAGACCTGATTTGGATCAGAACCTCAGCACTAGGGGAGGAGGGGCCTTCCACCCTTCATTGTTTTCCCAAGTCAAAACAGCCGGGGGGTGGGAGAATGTTTTGCCTGGGAAGGGGGGGGGGGGGAAGCATGTGTACTATTCAGAGAACCCTGACTCAATTTGTGGCCAAACATACTGTGTTATTTGGCCCTTACAAATGGGCTAATGTAATCCAAAATGCAGTCAGGAACAGCTGGCTGGCTCCTATTACTAAGGCTGCCCCCAAGGCAAATCACTCCTGGATGCAAAGCAAAAAGCCTCCGGTTAAATCCTTCTGGATTGCTTGCCTCTGCAAATATCATCACAGCAGGCGGTTAAAGTAATCCAAAAGTATGATTTATTCTCAGTCTGCACACCTAGAAAGAGACAGAACAAGTGCAAATGGCAAAAGTTAAGCTGAATAAGCTGGAGAGATGTTACAGCTTTGGGCTGCCGCAAAAAATGCCCCAGTTCAACCTGGTGGGGGAATGCTTTTTTAGGCTGAAATCCTAAAGATACTTTCCTGGGAATGTGCCCCACTAAATAACACAGGACTTACATCAGAGTAGTTGTGCAAAGGACTGCTCGCTGAAAATGCCAGGGACAAGTTCTCACCTAAATTACCAGATACTTGCGAACATCCTGAACTGGCTCATGCATTCAAAGAATCAGTGAAAGAAAGAGCCTGAGTGGCTGATAATTCCTTTTTCAACATCTGACGTAAAACGGTATTCACAGGTTGTCTCCATGGTAAGGTTGGTGAGCTCCAAAAGGGGCACCTGAGTCACCACGAAATAGAGTTTAGGACCTAGCTCTTAGGGAAACAGCCCCCCTTATAATGTGGGGGGGGATTCTATGACACTAGGCCCTGGGACCCAATTCAGAAGAAACTGCACCGTTATATTTGGAGATACTAAACCAAACTCTCTCCTCTGAAACTTTCTTTTAATGCAAAAGCAACTTCACACACTCTCACACACACAAACTTTGGACAGACAAGTGATGGGAAGAGCAAATTGTTGCCAGACCCTCTTTGTTTTGACACATGGAGAAATCGAAAGGAACCCACTGCTGGGAGTGGACTGGACTCTCTCTGTGCTTCGAGAACTCCCAAACAATAAGAAACAGTGAGGATCGCCATATGGCTGGAACCCAAACATCTCAACATGCTTAGCGTACTGGTCAGTCTGGCATCCCACTGTGAATCCTGCTGCAGCATGCCCACACTGGGAATATGAGCAAGCACCCCATCCTGGATGTCCAAAAGGACCTTCTGCCATTAAAACCGGAACACTCATTGGGCCGTGCTTGGCAAGGAAGGGACCGGGAAGTTCTGAATGGAGAGTGACTGAGCTAGGAGCAGCTGGAAGGAGAGAACCGTCTTGCAAGGAACTTACATCGATATAGGTGGCTCCAGAGTGGAAGGAAGGCCATGTACAGGGCGATGTCTCCCACAGTTGGGTAGGACTTGAAGATGGAAATGATAGCAAGTTGAACAAACATGAAGAAAACAGGGTGCTCCCTACAAAAGAAACAAAAAGGCTGTTAAGTTAACTGGATGGTATTGATACTACGGGAATGCCTGAGGCTGCTTGCACGGGTGTATGATAAAGACAAGTAACACAACCCTGTGTCAGGAGGTCGAGGCCACAGACCCCCCGACTACGCAGGAGAACTCCCCAGTAGCTCTCGAAAACACGAAGAAGAAGTACAGCAACCCTTTGAGGGAAGACCCGGGTCTTTGGGCAAACAACCCAAACGGGGAAGTGTTGCTTCTAAGGGAGGTAGACAGGGAAAAAGAGCTCATTGGGCTACAAGACGAGGGGATGACAGAAGGGAGACAGGATGGCAATGTTACTAGAATAGATAGCTATGGTATAAATGGTATAAAGGATTGGTGCGAACACTTTAAGGATTGGGTGTGGGGAGGCCGAAGGGATGAGGACCGCATTGTATCTGAAATAAAGAGAAAACAGGTGACCTCGAGGACGAATGATGGGGAGGTCAGATGATTAGGAGGAAAGTGAATAAAACTGGTACTCCACAATCGGCCCCCCATGGGTAGTAACGAGAGAGATGTGATGACGAAGGGCGATACCCATCACTGAGAGGAAAACCTGATTCCTTTTCAGAAGCGGTCTATCATCCTGGCGGACTCCTCTGACCCTCCCCCATCCGCGTTGCAACCCAAGGCTGACACCCTGTTATTTAATGAAACATAAGCAGACCACCAACTTCTCCCACTGGCCCTCTAACAGCTAAACTGAAGCCTATGGTAGTGATCGTATGTTTGAATACATCCCAGTGTCAAAATCCATGGCATGTGGCCAGCTACCCTGTCAGGGTGCACAACAGATCCAGGTGGGCAGCCATGTTGGTCTGAAGCAGTAACACAAAATTGGAGTCTAGTGGTCTTAAAGGTGCCACTGGACTCTAGTAAGGTGCACAATGTGCAAGTTTGCTATGAACAGGGAAGGTATTTTCCCCTTCCACTGGATGAAATATGTAAAAGCAAGATCCTTCTTCCCCCTCCTCCCAGCATTCAAAGGTAATACAGACCCAAGAGGGCTATGCTCTTTGTGACAGAGGAACATGCAGGTCGACTCTGATGCCCCGCCTCACTGCCATCACGCCTTTCTCCACTGCTTACGCTGCAAGCCCCAACCACCACAGGATTACTGCACATGCCAGAGGTTGATTCGGGGGGGATCGCGGGGGATCGCAGTTCCCCCGGGTGAGGTGTGGGGGCGGGGCACACGACAAAGCCCCACCCCCTGCTTCCAGCCACCCCGCTTCCAGCCCTCATTCAGTCAGGAGAAGAGGGAGGGTAAGTTGCTTCCTCCCCGCCTCTCCCCACCCCTGCCTGCCTGGGGCCAGGGAGGGCCTTGGCGGGGCTTCCTCACACTCCCGCCAGCCTCGCAGGTCCACCGCCAGGCCCCTGATGTCAGGGGGTGTGGCATATGCTAATGAGTTATGCTAATGAGTTCCCCTAGCTCTTTTTCTACGAAACGACCCCTGGCACATGCACAGTATCATCTGAAAGCATGGCAGCCAGGGATGAGGTCCAGATAATCATTTTATTTATCATTCATTTATTCAATTTCTGACTCACTCTCCCCTGCTACTGCAGGCCTCAGGGTAAGTAACAAAATATTTATAAAACAATGATAAGTCAATTAAAACAATTTAAACATCAATCAACAACAGTTAGATGGTATAGCAATAAAGTATAAATAAGGAGAATTTAACCACATTGAAAACTAGGGGAAGGTCCACAAAAAGAAGCAGGACGGGGGCCCATCAGATGGAGTTTTTTTTCTCAGTCATGAGCCCTGGCCATAGGCCTGGTGGAGCAGCTCTGTTTTTCAGGCCCTGCAGAACTGTAAAAGATCCCGCACGGCCCAGATCTCAGCTGGAAGCGCATTCCACCAGGCCGGGGCCGAAAAGGTTCTGGTTGAGGCTAATCAGATGTTTCTTGGGCCAGGAAACACTAGGAGATCTTCATCCCGTGAGTACGATGCTCGGGGGGGGGGGTCCTGAAGGTATGTTGGTCCCTTTCACAAGCAACGGGTACCTGCATCTTCAGGGTGGCCTTTGAAGGAGTAGGAGGACCTGTCTCACAGTTTAAGGATAACACAGCCACAGCAACATACTGTGGTAAGGGACAAACCCTTGGATAATTATTTTGGTGGAGCAGAACTGTAAAAGATCCCGCACGGCCCAGATCTCAGCTGGAAGCGCATTCCACCAGGCCAGGGCCAAAAAGGTTCTGGTTGAGGCTAATCAGATGTTTCTTGGTCCAGGAAACACTAGGAGATCTTCATCCCGTGAGTACGATGCTCAGGGGGGGGGGTGTCCTGAAGGTATGTTGGTCCCTTTCACAAGCAACGGGTACCTGCATCTTCAGGGTGGCCTTTGAAGGAGTAGGAGGACCTGTCTCACAGTTTAAGGATAACACAGCCACAGCAACATACTGTGGTAAGGGACAAACCCTTGGATTATTATTTTCACATAGTCAACCTTACTTGAACAAGGCTCCTCCCTTGTATATGTCAAACTGTCTTTTCTTTTGGAGCACTTACTAAAAGGAAGACATTTTTGTCTACCATAGCAAAAGCAACAACACTTCCTGTGTTACCTTACAGATTATAATTTTTTTAATGGAATAAGCTTTTGTGAGTTCGAGCCTACTTGATCTGATGCAACAAAGAGCAGTGCTTTTCCATTTTGTTTTATTATAATTATCATTATTACTATTATTATTATTAAGCATTTGGCTCAAGAAACATCATCTTATGATCCAGAATAAAGGAAAGTCAGATATGTACAAATCTACCAAATTACACAACACCTAGTTTTCAAGAACAGTTCTGGTAGAGATCCCACATTACCTCAGTTATCATCAATTCTGGTCCACCATTACCTCAGTTATAAAAGTGGAGAGCTTACAATAGCTGTAGTGGCCACAGTGGCAGTCTTCGTATTTCATATATTGCTAAATGCAACAGACTGAAGTTTTTGCTCCCGCATTGGAGTTACCACACTGTACCACAATGTCTTAAGGTGGGCTGAATGGTCCTGCATTCTCTGGTGGTTTTTCAGGGACATCTATTACATTTGTACCCCTCCCCAAAACACACACACACACTTCTGCTAAGGAGCTCTTAGTGGAATACATGGGTTATTGCAATTTATCCTCACAGTACCCCTTCGAGGTAGGCCAGGCTGAGAGATGGTAATTTGACCCAAGGTCACCCACTGTGCTTCAAAGCTATGACTTCCCTACTGCAGATTCAACACTCCAGCCACTACCAACCATGCTGGCTGCCCACATTTAAAAACATGGCTGACTTCTTATCCTGACACAACAAAGATGATATCCTGAAAGTGAACAGCAGTTGTATTCCCCTTCAGCACAGCTTCACGTGAAGCTGTGTCTACAAGCATGTGTTCTGATCTTAATGAAAAGGAGGAAAGGGCAGAAGGCAAAAACAAGCCTGTGAAATCTCTCATCAAGCCAGGACGGCTGATGTAAACATGGCCTAAGAGAGACCTAGAATGATACCTTCGTGCTGAGGGATACTAAGGTGTTATCACACTACAGTCACAGGGCAGGGTCACATGAGCCCCTCTCACACTATTCTTAGCTCTCCAAACACATGGAATAGGCAGCATATGTGGCGCCACTCCAGCTGAGCAGGGGGCCAAAATGGACACCTGTTATCTTCTAAGATTGCAAGTGAGGGAAAAGGGATGGAAGCTTCTAGGGCACTGTGATATGATGAAAACCTCCAAGCACTTATTACATGAGGCTGAAAGGAGACCCCTCTTTGGGAAGAAAGGAATTAAGCTGGTAAACATTGTTCACGGAGTCCTGCCCAACTCCTTCTGTGGAGTCAGATATGAAAAACTAAAGCACCACTGACTGACACTGTCTAGCCTCATCTTGGAAATTGTCCAAGACAGATACATATTTCTGTGAGCAAACTGCTTTTCCAGTAAGGAAGGTTTCCCTCCTTTAATTCTAAATCTAGAGCCACTTTCCTATTATTTTAGCCCTCACTACTTGGCCCTGAGATAGGTATCCTTCTTGATATATTTAAGTGGAAAGCTTCATAACTGCTGCCTATTGCATAGGCTAACTAAATCTAATTATAACCCTTCCTCTTTAGAGATTCGAAACAGAAAAGAAAAGGAAGGGAGACAGAGAGAGAGAGAGAGAGAGAATATGATACAAAAAGAAGAAAAACCAACTGCTTGGATTAACACGAGGAAGAAAAATATAAACAGCACCCAGGAACTATTGCAAATTGCATCCTTGTTTTGCTACATGAAATAACTGCTTCCTTGAAAGTCCTTTTTATTTAGATGCTCAAGGATAGAATCAAACTTTCAAGCATTAACAGAAGGCCAACAATTACTGGCAACATCAGATGCTTTAAAATCAGCCCATTTTCACTACAGTACACACAGTGTTGCAACCAATAGCAAGGATGGTATTTTTATTACATGAAATTCATAGATCTGTAGAGCAATGCATGACCTGCAAATGAGATAAGCCACAAAGAGAGCGTGGCTGGAGCAACATGGAATGACAAGCCTGTGCAACATGGAATGACATGCTTGTGCCAATGTAGATTCAAGCTAAGGAATGCCTCAAATTTCTCAGCAAACTTGTTCAGCAGACGAACTTACCTTGTTTGACACTCACACTCCGACTGAACCAATGAGGGATACGTTTGGATTGCAACGAGCAACCTGAACAGCTGCCAGACAAATAAGCAGCTGCCTGCTGGTCAGAAACTGATGCACAGCTAATAAGGGGGTGAGCTGGGAGTTGGGTTATTATATACCCTACAAAATATTTAGGTAGCGAAGCTGCAAAAGGGAGCTCTTCCCTCCCCTCCGAGCTGGGCAGGGGCATCGAAAAGGGAAGGCAGAAAGAGATATTTTCTTCCCACCACAAGCTGGGCAGGGACTAGGGCTGCCAGGTCTCCTACACAACTGCTTTCTGCATCTCAGCAAGTCAGGGAGGCAGCAAAGATTCCAGGATGGGAGATGAGAAGAACTCTCCAGCTAATCAGTGTCGAGCTGGCTTCTCCCCCCCCCCCCAAACAAAAAACAAAAAAAACAAAGTTGAGAGCAAAGCTTCCCCAGCAAGAGACTAGAAGCTGACTCCCAGATGATCCCTCATCAGGTGGGAGTCAGCTTCCGATGGCTGCAAATAACCCGTTCCTGTAAATACATACAAAGAGGCTGAGAATAACCTGTTGATTAATTGGCTTCCTGATCACCAGTGGCGAACGGAAAGCAAGACAAACAGGTAAGAGATCGAGCATCCCTACTTGAAGTTGTTATGCTTTGTACAAATGTTCAATGATGAGAGCAGTGGTAACAATTTTCTTGCACTAACATCATCATGTTAGCCAAGCCCTGAAGTGTAACAGCTGTAAACATGTAACTGAGAGGTGGCAAGGAGAAGACAGTCTTACTGCATCAGGGCTAACACTGATGCAGGAAGAGGCTAACAAAGGCCCATTGTCCATTTAAACAATAATCTCACACAGGGCATGTGCAGTCCGGAGTTGAGGGTCAGGAACAGGGATGGGCACGAACTGAGCCATGAACCATATGAACTGGGAGGTTGGTTCACGAACTGAACTGGTTCATAGCAGTTCGTGATCCCAGCTTTCTGCTCCCCACGGTTTTTTGTGGGGAGCAGAAAGCAGAGGTTCTCCCTGTGAAAAGCAGCAGGGAGCAGAAAGCAGGGATTTCCCCACAAAAAAGTAGTGGGGAGCAGAAAGGCAGTATTGCAAAAATAAAAAGCAAAACATAGTTAAGAATGCAAATCCTCTACTGTTTTTTTCTGCACTTGTGCACACATACAAGTACAGAAATGTAAATTACTGGAACCTTTGAGCAGGGGGTAGTCATAGACCACATACTATCCTCCTAGGTTTGATCCATAGCATATCAGGGAGCAGGGCTAGGAAGTTCCTCTGCCCGATTTCCAAGGGCCTCTACTGGTCCAGACATCTGGACTGCCAATCGCTTCTCCTGTCTTTCAGTAGCCACTTTGAAGCGCTCTTTCTAACTTAAAGCTTCCAGTAAATAGTGCTGAAATGTCAGAGAAATAATGGTGCCACAGATGGAGACAGCCTTGAAACTCAGAGGGCAAAAAGGCAGAATTTGTCAGCTTCCTAGAAGCTAATCTTGTGCCACTTCAGCAGCATGAACTGAGACCAGCATGATTGGCCGTGGGCCATTCTGCCTGGTCGCTTGAAGGTTGGAATGTTCACATTTGAAGGACTGCTTTTAACACTACACTTCTTTAAAAAAGCATTCTACAGGTTCCCTGGATTTTTTTTTAAACTAAAAAAACCCCAACCCTCTGAGAGGGAATTTCAGAATAATACAGGACCCAGAATCTCTGAGCCGAGTCTCCCTATATCCGATATAACAAACTGGCTTTCTGTGCTGACCTGCACAGCTAAGTGCACTGACTTCTTTAATTTGTTCCCATAAATTGCATTTGCAGGACTATCTAACTGAAATAACATTCATGAAAAACAGCCCTTTTAGTCTGTACATCGAGGCAGACAAAAAAAATCCCTCCCTCCAAAAAAACCCCTCAATGTTTTGGTGGCACCTCAGAGACTAACCTCATGGACTAACTATATTTGGGTTCATAAAGTGAAAGAGGCCTAGCATGAGGCTGAGGTGCACTACTGACTAAATTAAAGTAGCCACATGCTAGGTAAAGATATGAAGAGCTCCACAGGAAGGAAATTCACATTGTAATCCTAAAGAGATTCTATGCCAATTGACTACAATGGATTTAGAAGGGTTTGGGATTGCCCTGTAAATTCTTCTTATACTCCAGGCTCCATATATAAATAGGGCTGCCAACCTCCAGGTGGTGGCTGGAGATCTCCTGGGATTACAGCCGAGCTCCAGGCCACAGAGATCAGTTCATCTGGAAAAAATGGTCACATTGGAAGGTGGACTCTATGGCATTATACCCCATTGAAGTCCCTCCCCTCCCCAAACCCTATCCTCCTCAAGCTCCACCCCCAAAATCTCCAGGTATTTCCCAAACCAGACGACCCTATATCAAAATCAAGCCTTAAGACTCGTTAATTAAGAGAAACAGAGTAAAGTTAATCAAGGTGTGGCTCACCTAAACTAATGAGAACAAGCCAGCTCTCCAGAAAAGAATACTTTTGGAGTTGGTTATTTGACAGCAACACATCATGCGAATATACGAGGTTGCTTCCCCAAACAAAGCAAGGGCAAATGGAATCTACTTACTTTAGTTTCACTGCCAAGGGAATGGTGTAGAAGAAGACATTGATCTGAAAGACGCACACAAAGAAGAGGCTGAAGTGCTCAAACATCTCAGCAAAGAAGTACCAGAAGAGACCAACGTTGGGGGTCAGATCCGGCACAGAAAGGCTGGAATGGATACAGCAATATTGAAATTATTGATTGAGCTACATATATATATATACCAAACTGTTCTGTAAGAGCAAACTCATAAATAATTGGGCTGGAATATGCACACATGTAAACACACTCTCACACACTATTAGATAAATCCTGAAACCTGCTTGGTGCCTATTAATGTATAAATGAATTAAAGAAGCTCTTTCTTATAACTGTCCTTATGTCACTAGGACATTTATAGCGTATTGCTTCCTGCAGCAATACAGTGACACCTACTGGTCATAAGAGCAGAAACAAGGAATAGATTGTCTTATGTTATAGGAACAAGAGTAATTGTTGCTGTTGGAAGACAGAAGTGGTTGCCTGGAAAACTATCAAGAAATGACATGATGCTTCATTTGTTTGGTACCATTTTTTCAGTAACATGTCAGATTAAAACTTCAGACCTTCCTCTAGTTTCTCATAAACCCAACATTCTTTAAAACAGCAGGTGAGGTTTGTTTGCTTTTATGTTATTCAGCCCCAAACTTTAAAATGTCCTAAGAAAAGGATTCAGCATGAACATAGCCCTTTGGCCACTGTGACTTCAGGTACTGGAAGAGAAAGGAAGGGACCAAACTGAATTCAGATCTAATTTAGAGGAGGCTAGGCAAGGAAGGACTGTCAACCTGATGACCATACCCAGCACATTTTTGGCCCTTCACTCTCATTTGCAATAGAAAGCTTGCCTTCCCTTGGTGCACAGGCATTCATTAATGTTTTCCCCAAAGGAACAAAGGATCTGTCAATGGGATGCATTCAGAGTGTTTTTGCAACAACAGTTTTGACATTTATATCAGTGAATAAAAACTGTTTGCAAAGTTCTAACAGAACCAGCCCCTTGAGTTTCTTGTGCCATTTCCTGTCATACCATCATTTTGTCATGTTTAACCAGTATAGACCGAAGTAGTAACAAAAAAACTGTGCAGGAGTTTGTGCTAATAAATTTGAAATATTAATCAAAAAGATTTCATACAAAAGAGTGTACAATATTTGCATAACATATCAAATACAAGTGAAGATGGTGATCTCCGGAATGTTCTGCCATTTCGACACAAGTCTTCTTCTGAACAATGATGTATACATGTGGTGTCTTCTCTATTTCATTTCAACTGATTCATCACCAACAATTTCATGGATCTCTCAGGAACTGTAGAAACAGTTTTTAGAAAAGCCTTTCCATGGGCGAATGAAGTTGAATTGCCTTGATTCAACTTCATTCGCCCACGAAGTTGAATTGCCTTGATTCAACTTCATTCGACCGTGGAAAGGAGTAGGAGCTGCCACGACTGTTACCATCTGTCTACGACTATTACTATCTGTCCTAGCCCTTATTACCAACTCGCCGTGAGCGCAAAAATAGTAGCACTGCGTGGAGCTGTGGCCACTAAGGATACCATCCTGATGATGTCATCTGTTCCCTTGTTAGTTGTTGTGGAGAGCACTTATGTTGTACTGAATGTTTTTAAAATGCAGTTTTAATGTTTTATGTATTGGGCATTGGCCCCATCTGTACGC